TTGAAAAGCTCATTTTTAATAATTCTTATGTACCCATTTAATCGTTTTCACTTCCTCTACAAGGATCCTATGCCAAACAGTTGATTAGATTAGTAATTTGGAAAAAATTTAGTCTTCATTTTTACATTTCCGCGTGGCTGTTGTTATCAAGAGTTAACTAGACTAGGGTTTGAAATTTTCGATAAGTTCATTTTTAATCCTTATTATGCATCAATCGAATCGTTTTCGCATTCTCTACAATGATTCTAGGCCAAACAGTTGATTAGATTAGTAATTTGGAAAAAATTTAGTCTTCATTTTTACATTTCCGCGTGGCTGTTGTTATCAAGAGTTAACTAGACTAGGGTTTGAAATTTTCGATAAGTTCATTTTTAATGATTATTATGCATCAATCGAATCGTTTTCACATTCTCTACGAGGATTCTAGGCCAAACAGTTGATTAAATTATTAATTTGGAAGAAATTTAGAGTTTTCATTTTTACATGTCCGCGTGGGTTTTGTAATTAAAAGTTATCAAAAGTTATGAAATGTTAACTAGAGTAAGGTTTAAAATTTTCTATCGGTTCATTTCTAATCATTGTTATATACCAATCGAATCTATCTTACATCCTCTACAAGCATCCTTATTCAAACAAATGATCAGCTTATTAACTCGGACAAAATTTAGAATTTTTATTTTTACATGTCCGCGTGGGTATTGTTATTAGAAGTTATCAAAAGTTAACTAGAGTATGGTTTAAAATTTTCGATCAGTTCATTTCTCATCATTGTTATATACTAATCGAATCGATTTTACATCCTCTACTAGCATCCTAAGCCAAACAAATGATTAGCTTTTTAACTTGGAAAAAATTTAGAATTTTCCCTTTTATATGTCCGCGTGGGTATTGTTATTAAAATTTATCAAAAGTTAACTAGAGTAAGGTTTAGAATTTTCGATCGGTTCATTTCTAATCCTTGTTATATACCAATCGAATCGATTTTACGTCCTCTACAAGCATCCTAAGCCAAATAAATGATTAGCTTACTAACTTGGAAATATTTAGAATTTTCATTTTTACATGTCTGCGTGGGTATTGTTATTAAAAGTTAACTAGAGTAAGGTTTAAAATTTTCGATCAGTTCATTTCTAATCATTGTTATATACCAATCGAATCGATCTTACATTCTCTACAAGCATCCTAAGCCAAACAAATGATCAGCTTACTAACTTGGAAAAAATTTAGAATTTTCATTTTTACATGTCCGCGTGGGTATTGTAATTAAAAGTTATCATTTAATTCAACTTTCTTTTGGAAATTTTTTAAAGCATTTATTTATTATAATTGTTATAAAAATTTTTAAAAATATATTTTCAGAATTGATTTATGATGAAAATTATAAAATTGCAAAATTATTGGTTCAAGTGTCACATTTTTTTTATAAATTATTAAATAATCATACTGAAATTAACAAACATATGACAATTTATATGATTATTCTTATTGAAAATTTTACAAAAACATAATTTGAAAAATTCCAAGTGCACTTTTTTTAAAAACAGCTGTCTAACTTCAATTTAATGTATGAATAAAATTTTATAAACTGTCAAAAATTTGCTAATTAAAAAAATTATTAATTTATCAACTTACCCACCACCATCTCTGTCAATATTTTTATTCAACAGCTTCATTTTTTCATTCTATCCCTGAAAAATAAATTTTGACATTATCAATTAAAAAAAAAAAAAAAAAAGTCAATGAATAAAAATCACTTAATAAAAAATTGTAAATTGCTCCAAAAAATTTCAATAATTTTTAATTTATAAAAAATAACACCAACTAACCTTAGAAGAGTAATTTTATTTGTTGATAATGAACACGATGAACACTGACCGTGTGTTTGCATCCGAGAAAAATAAAAATCACGGGCGACATCTTGAACTTGTGAATTTTCTAGTAATTTTCCGTGCCAGATGTTGATGATGTCAGCAGCAATTTTCTGCATTTTATTTTACCAACAGAAAGTTAGCCGACATTTTTAATTTAAAATTTATTTTATATTAAATTAGATCTAAAAAATATTTTTAAAAAATTACACTTATAACTTTTCAAGTTTTTTACAAATGAAAATTTTTTTTAAATAATTTTTTAATTAAAAAACTTGTTAAATAATGACTAACTTAATTTTCATAGAAAATTGCAAAAATGGCCCTCAGCGCCATCTTGCGGCAACGTCCGTAACCTCAAAAAAATTCAACAAATTCTCTGTTTGACACCTAAAACTAAACTAAGAAGGATAAAAAGTAGGACACTCACATGTTACAGTTATTTATCATTTCAATTTAACATTTACACATTTACAGTTTACAGTTAACAGTTAAAAACATTAAACAACACTGAACACCGGATGATCAACCAGCCACCAGTCAGCACAAGGTATCATGACCGCTTGTCATTAGTTTGTTTTATAATTATAATTATAATTGTAATTTTATGATTATAATCATTTGTCACCAACCATACAATAGCTTGACTAATACATATAATATATACCTCTTCTCTTTTCTAGTCCGCAGTTCCAACTCAACCGCGCCAGCAAAATTCATTGTTCAGTGCGATAATAAATACGGCCTTGTTATCAGTATCTGTGAATATTTTAATTGTCTATTTGTCTATTAAAAATTCCATTAGCGATATGGCTGAAATTATTTTTACGTCTAAAAATATGTGAGCACTGAAGAAATATTATTATTATTATTACTATTATTAAAATAAAAATATAAATATAAATAATAAAAACAATAACATGCGTCCAGTGTCAACATCGCTCAGAATAATGTTTAATTATTCTTAAAAATAAAACCTGCTACCAAGACAAAGAAGGTATTTATTTATTTATTACACTTGCATATTTATAAGCACATGCTAAGTGACTAATTGATAATTAAAATATTAATCATTAATCTTTATAATTAGCAACCTTTTTTTTTTAAAGAAGAGATTAATATGAAAATTAAATTAGCTATCTGAAAATTTTTGTAGTTTATTTTATTGAAAAATTATTAAAAAAAAAAATTTCACATGTAAAAAATTTTAAAAACTACACGTGCAATTTTTTTAAAATATTTTTTTTAGTTCTAATTTAATTAATAAAGAAGAGACAAAAATTTTTGGACGGATAAATTTATTATCATAAAGTTATAAAGAATTATCTATATGATTAAGACAATAAAAAAATTTTGTATCTAAAATAAAATCGGTCATGTGATAAAATCGCTTTTTTTTTTTAGTGAAATTTAGTCTCATTGCAAAGGGCTTGAATTTGTGTATAGATACATAATTAAGAAATGACCTTGTATCTTGTGAAAAATTGAACTTTTTAAAGATATAAAGTCATCCCGATGTTACACTCATCGAGACCTTTCATTTGAGTACCCACATCAATTTTTCATATATTTTATATATTTATATATTTCACAAATACATACCATATATATAGAATCCTAATATAAAATTGAGATGAAATGTATGTGGCATCAAACTATTCGTAACGTGATTGGTCGAATATATCATAAGCATAAAAATATATGCAAACTCTATAGTCAAGGTGAGCGCTTGCGCGCGTAAATTAGAATTCTAGTCCCATAATAAAATTGAGATGAAATGTATGTGAAACCAATCTATTCGTGATGTGATTGGTTGAAAATAAATATTCTCATTCTGATTGGTTAAAAGTGAATATAATATACATAAACGACACATAAATATATCATGACAATAAATATGACGCGCGCGCTTGCGCACGAAAATTAAATTCTAGTCCACTCTTATAATTTAGATGAAAAATATGAAAATATACATTGATGAAAACATTTTATTCGTAACGTGATTGGTCAAATATATCATAAGCATGAAAATATAGACAAATGCTATACTCATGCGCGCGTTTGCGCGCGCAAAATTCAAATTCTAGTGTCGTTAAAAATACCGATATTGCCTAATTTAATTAACAATTAAAATTCACCTCAAATTAACGACTAACATAATATATATATATATATGTATGTATATATGAAAAATATATCAAAAGTGCATGTGGGTATTCAAATGAAAGCTCTTGATGAGTGTATTATCATGATGAGCTTATATCTTAAAAAATGTTAATACTTAAGAAATGACCTTGTATCTTGTGAACTATTGACATTTTCAAAGATATAAACTCATTCTGATGTTACACTCATCGAGACCTTTCATTTGAGTACCTATATCAATTTTTTATATATTTTATATACTTACATATATTATATATATGTATATATGAAAAATATATCAAAAATGCGTGTGGGTACTCAAATGAAAGCTCGTGATGAGTCTATCATCAGTATGAGCTTATATCTTTAAAAACGTCAATATAACATTTAAGAAAATATAGTACAATTTAACAAAAGGTATTTTTTAATAAAGCAAAATTTTATTTATTTATAATTCACAAGTCACGGCAGTCACGCAGTGACTGCTAAGTTTGTAGTGAATAATTAATCAAAATTAATTTAGCAGTTATTTGATAATTTTAAGAATTTTTTTAATAAATAAATTGAGTCAAAAAAAAAGTAAAAAAATTAACAATGTAGAAATTTTAACAAATGAAAAATACAATTTTATTAAAATAATTTTTCGGAACTAATATTCTTGTCAAAAAAAAATTAAAAAATTGTAAAGTGACAGCTAACTTCAATATCATAATAATTAATTGCAGATCTGAGACCGGAGTGTCTGCTGCTGATTAACTACGCGTAGTTTTATTGTATCTGAAATGGCCAAGACCCTGCCGAAGGACATCGTCAACTGGACGAACGAGGACGTGATCAAGTGGCTCGAGGAGTCCGGACATGGGTCGTGTACGTTTTACTTCAAGGCTCATGACATTGACGGCAAGTCTTTATTGACGATCCGAGAAGATGATCTCAAGAGCCAGGGCATGAAAATTGAGAAGCTGGGAGATGTGAAGAGACTTTATATCAGTATTAAAAAATTGCAGAAGGAAAATATGGCGGTCTTGTTTGAGCTGGGGCAGCTTGAGTTTACTTCTTCGAATTTTTATTCTCATAATAGACAAGAGGTTTGTTTATTATTATTATTTTTTTTATTTTGAATTAAAATTCTGGCTAAAGGATAAAAGATACAAAAAAAATTTTTAAAGACTTTTTTTTTGTAAAAAATTCAATTTTCTATAAAAAAAAATTTCTTATCATTTTTTGATATTTTCAATATTTAATCAAAAATTTTGATATTAAAATGTTAGTACAATTTATTCTGAGAAAAAAAAATTACTTTTAATTTTTGAAGAGAATTTAATTTTTTTATCTTATAATTTTTTCTTATTTTTAATATTTCACACCATAAATAAAAAATTTTTTTGAATTGTTTAATTATTTAACAAAAATTTTTTCATTGAAAAAATTTATTTAAAAAAAAAGAACAATATAAAATTTTTTACATTTATTAAACAATGCAGTTGCTTATTATCGATCACAATTAACAATAGAAAGATGATATTATGTTACGTACATTAAACTTCTTTATTAATTGTCCTGTCGTCTGTAAATATTTCAAATCATTCTACACCGCTGCAATATTCAATACATCGGTTATTTCTTCTAAAGAAAATTATTTTCCATGACAATGAATAATATGCTTAATAAAAAAAAAAAAAATGCTAATTAAAATTGTCTAGTTACAGAGTTTCATATCAAACAACGAGAGCTCAGTAGACCCAGAATTCTATTCAGCGTCAGTATCAGACGACGGACATGCCTCGCACCTACCTCCAGAAATATGGAAAGCATTTATCAGCCTGGGCTATTTGTTCATAGTGACGTGGATCACAGCCTTCGTGATGGTGATAGTCCACGACAGAGTCCCAGACATGAAAAAGTACCCGCCATTGCCAGACATTTTTCTTGACAATGTCCCACACATACCCTGGGCTTTTGATATTTGTGAAGTAACTGGGACGTTATTGTTCGCTATCTGGCTGATGGTTCTTATATTTCATAAATATAGGTAAAGTTTATTGATTTTAATTATTAATAATTATTAACAAAAATAACTGATAATTAGAGCTAAAATATTTTTCAAATGTTTAATATTATGGCGAAAATATTGAATGTTAAAAATTGCACTTTTTATTTTTAAAAATTTTTATAAGACTATTATTTTTGCCATAATATCAAAAATTTAAACGATTTATTATGAATTGTTATTTTGAGTTTGCAGCCGTGAGTTGTGAACTATAAAGAATTAAAATTTTGTTTTATTAAATAATGCCTTGTTAAATTGCACTGTACTTGCTTAAATATTGACATTTTTAAAGATATAAACTCATCCTGATGTTACTTTCTTTAAGCGCTTTCATTTGAGTACCCACATGCATTTTGATATATTTTACATATATATACATATATATAATATATATTTTAAAGATATAAGCTCATCACGATGTTACACTCATCAAGAGCTTTCATTTGAGTACTCACTTCAATTTTGCATATATTTATATATATCATATATATGTATATATGAAAAATATGTCAAAATGCATGTGGGTACTCAAATGAAAACTCTTGATAAGTGTAAGATCAGGATGAGCTTATATCTTTGAAAATGTCAATAGTT